TTTTTTTTTTTTTTTTTTTTTTTTTGGTGGGAGCGAGTGGAGAGCAGGAGAGGCTCCTTCTGTTTCCTGTTGGGGAGATGAACTTGAATGGAGATTCCAAATCTGAGACTTAGCCGATGGGGGTAACAGGGCTCTCTTGCAGCAGTTTGAAACTGAAGGTGTCATGAGATCCCTGGCTTGTCCTCGCGATGTTCCGGATGCCGGTGGGTGGATGGCACGGTGATGATGATGAGGGAGCACTAGGCATTGGCCCTCATCCCTCCCACCTCTCCCCTGTCCCCTGCAAGGGCACGGTTGTGCGAGAAAGCTAGCCTTGGACTTAGAGCTTCTTATGGTTAAGAACCATCTGGAGCAGCAGGCTGCAGGGCACACTCTTCAAACCTCCTGTAGCTCACAGCATGAGTGTGCAGCCAAGAGGTGAGCTCGAAATCCTCCTGGAGGCCAAACGGCCAGCAGAGGCACCCTGCAGCTCTCCAGTGGGTCTGGGTGGACCGCAGTTTGGGACTTGTATATAGAGCTGTATTTAATACCTCAAGGCTAGCGTGGTTCTGGGGAGCGGGTGCAGGGGGATGAGGGTGTGCGGTTAACACCTCAGCAGGATTCGGTTCTGGGAAGCTGACGCCCAGCCCCCACCCCCCGCGCCCTGCCCCCTGTGTTGTCTGCTTGTGTCACACACACCGATGGCAATAACTTCTTCCAGCTCCTCGGGAATGGGCGAGGCCTGCAGCCCGCACTGCCAGGGCATCCCTCATGCTCCCACTGGTCCTGTTCTGGCTGCAGAGAGTCCTCCCTCCCTCATCCCGCACCTGCCTCCCTTTGTGGATGGGGCCTTGCCTTTTAAAATCCTGTGTTTCTGTGTCCCTTTCATCTGCTCCTTTCTCTCATCTGTCCTGGTCTTGCCGTGTGCTAGGAACGTGCTTGTAAACTGCATAACAAATCTACTTTGTGTATATGTGTGTTTATGGGGGTGTCTTATTATTTTGCTGGTCGCTAGATACCTTTGTACGACCGTTTGGAGTCTGAGCAGGCCAGGGGCTGACAACTAAAGTCCAGGGCCTGCCGCGGCGAACCTGTTGGAGGGACCCAGCCACTCTTAGACAAGTGGCTGAGCTCCTATCTGGCCTCCTGTTGTTTTTTTTGTTTTTTGTTTTTTGGTTTTTTGTTTTTTTTTTTTTGTTAAGTAACTTGTGTGTATTTCTAACTGATCGTATTAAAAAAAAAACCCTAGTATTTCAGTAAAAATGCCTGTTGTAAGATGAACCTCCTGTAACTTCTATCTGTTCTTTTTTGAGGCTCAGGGAGAAACTAGCATTTTTTTTTTTTTTCCAAACTACTTTTTGTCACTGTGACAGTTGTAAATAAAGTTTGAAAATGCTTTCCACTCTGGTCTGGTTTCCTTCTTTCTTCCATTGGAATGGGCAGAGCACGTCACCAGCATGCAACTCTTGTGAGAGGCTGAGTTCAGAGGAGCTCCACAGGGGTCCCTTCCGTATCTTTCCCACTGGCCCTTCCGGGGTGAACCCACCCATGGTTCTTGTCACCTGGCTGAATGAAAGCAGCCTTTCCTTCTGTGCCCGTGGTCCTCAACTTTGGATGCACATCAGAATCACCAGGAAAGCTTTTTAAAAGTACAACTACCTGGGTTCTACCCCCAGAGACTTGGATTTCAGTGGCTAGGACAAGGTCCGAGCATTCGTTTTGCTTAGAATCATGGGGAGCTTTTAGCACACAGCCCCAGTTTTATGCCACCTTTCTAAGGAAAGAGAAACACCCAGGGTACCTTGTAAGGTCATCCACAAAGACTGGGGGTGAAGGATGGACATATATGCCTCTAAAAGCTCTGGTAGTCATTCAAAACATGCATCGAGTGCCTTTGATTGACAAGCATCATTAAGAGACGGGAGTAAACACAAGGGCAGCATTCTCAGCCCTCACTGCCCTGCTTTAGTGTAAAATGGTAGGTGTGGTGAGTTCAAGGGCGGGAAAACACGATGCCCTGAGAGTATCTGTTGGGAGGGCCAAGATGGACACCTGAAGAAGGGGGTGAGGTGCACGGAGAGAGTGCTTCCATCAGAGAGAAGGCTGGGAATGAGCTTAACTAGTGGGAGCAGGGAAATAGTTCCAGGAAGGCTGTTAACACCTGGGGAAAGAGGTTGGATTTTCTTCTCTGTACAGGGCATAGAATGGTTTCATTTACATTTTTACACAGTCTGGCTCTTTGGAGATGGGGTTGGAGGGGACAGGATGGAAGGCCCAGAGATCAGGAAGGAGGATTCATGGAGGTGGCAGTGAGGGGAGGTGGCGCTTTGTGGGAAGGGTTTTCTGACACTTTTCCAACATAAAGCTGGATATTTTTGCCTTCACTCGGCCCACAACTGGGCTCATAACCATGGGGACTATAGATAATCAAGTGATCTATGCTGAGAGTGTCCGCCAGTATTGATAGACTATGGATCCGTTTTAGCCCCAGCCTAAATACAACCATGAGATTTGTGCATCTGCTGTCCTGAGAATAACTTGCAGCCCTCTATCATCTTCATCCTGGATTGTCCCTCTATTTCCTTCTAATAGCCTGAGATGCAATGTATTAGAACACAGCCTCCTTGAAGGTAGCCCCTCATAAAATGGTTTAATTCACAGATAACATCATTTACATAGAAAAATCTTATTCAATCTACGTCACCCCCCAAAAGAAACCTACTAGAACTGACATGTGAGTTCATCATGCTTGTAGGATCTAAGATCAATTTACAAAACTCAACTATACTTCAGGATACTAGCAATGAACAATTAGAAATTGAAATTTAAAGTACACGTACATTAGCATAAAAATATAAAGTATAGGAATACATTTGACAAAAGATGTGCAAAAGCTGTTCAAAGAAAACTACAAAACGCTGCTGAGAAAGATTAAATTAGACCTCCATCAACAGAGAGGTATACCATGTTCCATGGATCTGAGGATTCTGTTAAGACGGCAGTTGTCTCCAAATTGTTCTATAAATTCAACTCAGTCAAAATACAGCAAGCTTTATTTGCAGAAATCCACAATCTGAATTCTGAAATTCATATGGAAATGCAAAGCCAAAACAACTTTGAAAAAGAAACAAGTTAGATGATCCAAATCTCAACTTCAAACCTTACTACAAAGCTACAGTAATCAAAACAGTGTAGTATTAGCATCAAGATAGACAAATAGATCCATAGAACAGACTAGGGAGTCCAGAAACAGACACAAGTATAGTCGATTAATTTTTGACAAAGGTGCTGAGACAGCTCAGTGGAGAAGGGAGCCTTTTCTACAAGTGGTGCTAAAACAATTGCGTATCCATATGCAAATATCCCTTAGGGACAGAAACAAAGGCTTCACTTCTGTTTCCCATTGTCTCCTTGTGAGTTTCTAAATACAATAATTACTCATTCAGGAAAAAAAAAGTTTTTTTTCCTGTGGTTGGCCAATTGCTTCAATATTGTCCCCCCCTTATCCCAGTTCACCTCCTCTCTCCCTAAAGGAAGAGCAACTTTCCTGTGTTACTCAGGCGGGCTTGTGTTCAAGTCCTACTCAGCCCCTCTATATGTAATTCGGGGCCAGGGTGCTTGGGTGGCTCAAGCGGTTAAGTGTCCAACTTCGGCTCAGGTCATGATCTCACAGTTCGTGGGTTTGATCCCCGTGTCGGGCTCTGTGCTGACAGCTCAGAGCCTGGAGCCTGCTTCAGATTCTGTGTCTCTCTCTCTTTCTGCCCCTCCCTGGCTCACACTCTGTCTCTCTCTCTCTCAAAATATAATAAATAAACATT